CCCTTGCTCCCCTGGGAGTTTGGGTTTCCTGGGCTGGGCATCTCACCTTGCTCTAGTGAGGGGTGCCCGAGGTGACCCTAGCCCTGAATCTGCCAAAGATGCCTCCTATGACTTGGGGAGCATGTTTATTGGTGCCTGTGACCCTCAAGCCTCTAGGGGCTGCCAATCCCAGTCAGCTCTGCCTCCTGTGCTGGGGGACGCGGGTGCTGCCCACAGAAGGTCTAACAGAAGGTCTAACACAGAATATATCTAGTACATGCAATCTACTTCCCATCACCCATCCACCCATCCATCCATCCATGCATCTGTCCATCCATCCATCCGTCTATCCATCCATCCATCCATCTATCCATCCATCCATCCACCTCCCATCACTATCCATCCATCCACCCATCCATCCATCCACCATCCATCCACCATCCATCCATCCATCCACCTCCCATCACTATCCATCCACCCATCCATCCACCCATCCACCCATCCATCCACCCATCCATCCACCATCCACCATCCACCATCCACCCACCCCAGAGCTCCCTCGGTGGTTCTCCTGAGGTGCCTGCTCTCAGTCTTGAGGTGAGGAGCCAAGGGCAAGTGTAAGGAGCCAGGAGAAGGGCACAATTGTGTGGGGAGTGCCAGGGTAGCGATCGTGGGGCTCACAGTGGGGTCCACCCTGCACATCAGGCCAAAGATGGGGGTTCAGAGAGGTCAGGAAGGAGAGGCAGAAGGTGTTCATGCAGAGAGGCCCCAGGTGCAGAGTGAAGATGACATGGACACATGTGCCTTCTGGGGGGGCGCTCTCCAGCTCAGAGGTGAGAGGGCTGGGGCCTCTGAACTCTTCTTGATGTAGGTGTCACAGCTGATAACGTGCACATATCTTAACTGTTCANCCCAGGGCCTCATTAAAGCCACTTTAAAGTCTTCAGCACGAGTGACCAGAGCAAAAACAGATCTAAAGTTCCCAGACAGCTGGGGGGCCTTGGGCTGAGAAGTGTCTACCTGTGGGAAACGGGGGCTTTCAGGGTGCAGCCACCCACTCCCTATGAGGCTGAGGGGCAGCGTGGGGACGCTGCCTGCGGACACTGATGTCGGAGAGGTCCCCACATCTCCCCTGGGTCCCGAGGAACAGACGGCAGAGCCCGGCCGGGGTCCTGGCTCCGTCAGCTCCGGGAGGCGAGGTGCAGGGCCAGCCCTAACTCCTAGGCAAGGCTGCAGCCCCCCCACCTCCTGGTGGCTCACAGGTCCCTGCAGGCTGTCCCCCGCCCCGCCTGCGGGCCCCCTCCCACCTGGAGGGCCGCGCACTGTTCTCCAGCTCTGGTCAGGGGCTGAGCATCTGGTCCTCCAAGCCCAGGAGACAATGGTGAGAACAGTGATAAGGGGCCAAGCCCAGGAGAAAATTGCTGAGGACAATGGCAAGGCATGGCAGGTGGCTCTTCAGGAGTGACATTTCCCACCCCTGCAGCCCCAGGGGTGGGGGAGGCAGCGACTGAGTGACTTGGAGAGACAGTGATGGATCTGAGGACTCTGATAACCAGTCCTGATTTGGTGAAAATTTAATTCCCCTTCAATTATTTGCAGAAGTTTTGGGTAACTTGAAAAGTAAAACGACTCATCACTTACTTGATGTTTAACTTTGTGCTATGACAAGAATAAAATGCAGAAAAGTAGAGAGAACTGCAGAGAAGCCCCGCCCCCAGGACAGATCAGCTGTCAGCAGCATTTTGCCGTGTTCGGTGTGGTGGTGCCCGTGGCACGTGCGTGCCATTGAGCACCAGAAGTGGTCTCTGCCACCAGGGGCAGCTCCAGGTGGGCCATGCCCTCGCCTGCCTCACCTTGCCCTCTGTTTTGTGTTTGCCTTTGGCAAACAGCAGAGCGCGGTAACCTCGGGTAGAATCCGTCTCTGGGCCACACGAGAGGAGACGGGCACACGTTTCTCGTGGGCGCGGGTGTCCCGCGATGGGGTCCACCTGGGCTGCCCGTGGCAGAGACGGCCCGGGCGAGGGGCGTGTGCTGTCCCTGTCCAGCCTTCCGGGAGCAAAGGGACTGAGGGACACACGGCGCCTGCGTGGGTGCTGGGGACGTGGGCTCACAAGGCCCTTTTCCTAAAGAAGGGCCTTTCAGACACTGCGTTAGGATCAGAGTCCGTGTCGTGGCCGCACCCCTCACCCGTGCACCTTCTGGGTTTGGTGTCCTTCCTCCCTGTGAAATGGACGGTGACGCACAGTTGTGAGCTGAGGGCTGTGCCACCAGGCCTTGCGTCCAGCTCACAGGTCAGCAAGGGGGCTGCGTGCAAAAGCCTGAAGACCAGGAGGCTCGGTCCGAGGCAGGACTCACCCCACTCAGGGAGGCAGTCACGCAACGTGGCCGCGAGTTCTGGACCAGCCCCTGGCCCGCGGGCACAGCCAGGCGAAGTGCGTTCAGCGCGCGTCTGCCCAGAACCCCTCCATATGTGCCCACCGCCAGTCTGCCCACAGTGCTGCCACCCCTGATACATGGCATCCCCCTTACCCCCCTCCCCCCCTTTTAACCCACGGGGAACGAAGGGAAGCCATGTTCGGGGTGGGGGAACCCCCGGAAACAGCCCCCCCCAAGGACCACGCTGTCCTCTCAGCACAGGGCTGCCCATGGCCTCCCAGCCTGGTCCCTGGGCTGCGTTCCTCTCCGGGTCCTGGCCCTGCAGCCATGTCGTCAGCACATATTCCACACACGCCCCGTCCAGGACAGACGGACGGGTCAGACCTGCCCTCCTGCCCCAGCCCCATTGTTTCCTGACCCCTCAGAAAGAAAGAGAGAGAGCTGCGTGTCCACGCGAGGGTATCGTTCTCCTGTGGGGTCTCCCGTCTCTGTCTGCGCGTGTGCGCCTCGGTGCGCAAGGGCACATGAGCATGCTCAGGCAGACAGGAGCCGTCAGGCGCCCGCAGTGCCCGCCGGCGGGGACGGCAGCCCTGCCTCCTCCACGCCTCCTACCGTGAGAAGCAGCCGGGGTTTGAAGAAGGAAGATTCGTATCCCAGGGGCTCTACTTGTAAAGAGCACTTGGCATTGCTTGGGTTTCTTGAGAGAGAAAGACGCTAAGACACTACTCATCCCTGGAAAGAACAAGGCGTGAATGCGTGCCCCGCGCCAGGTGCTGCCCTGGGCTTCAGGTGCCAGGCGCACGGACCCCACTGGCCCCACAGGATGCCCCACAACGTGGAGACACGGGAGGGCTTGCTGGGCCCGGGCCCATGTTGGGGGGTGGAGTGGGCACGTGCTGGCACCCCCGTCCCACCCTCGCTTATCGCTGGCTGTGGCGCCTGCTCAGAGCTCAGCCTGACACTTGGGGGACCCAGGGGAGCCACAGCCTCCTGCCTGGGAGGACCTTGTAAGAGGGAAGGCGGCCAGGGACGTGGCGCAGAGGCTTCTGGAGGAGCCGCTATCCAAGTGGGGTTTTCAAGGATGGATAGGAGCTTCCTGACGGAGAAGGACGGGCAGTGGGGCCTGCGGATAAAAGCGACATCACAGGGCGGCAGCAGGACACAAGGGCGTTTGGGAACCACAGGCTTTTCTTCTTAGTAGTTTTGCCCCAAAGACTTTCACATCAAGCTCCTGAGAAAACATTAGGGGCTGATCTTGCCTTATTTTGACTCGACCCTCCCTGACACCGTGGCCACGTTGGTCCTGCCCAGGAGCCTGCGGCCCGGCTGTACCCCAGGTGCAGGGCAGCTCCCCACGCCCCCTCCCCAGGGTGCCCAGCTGTCTGCTTTTCATCTCATTGTCACCTTGAGTTCACCATCCTGTCTGAGTGAAGCTGCCACCTGCTGTCCCTGCTTTGCTGGCTGGGTGTCCAGCCCCGCAGGGACACCGCCCCAGTGTGTGGAACCCCCCTAGCTCCCCAGACGCAGGCATGGTCTTGGGAGGACAGCAGACGTGCTGGCCGTGGCCATGAGGCCGCACGGAACACCCCCGTAAAGCAGTGTCAATGGCCGTGCGGGCGGTGGTGGCATGTCAGTGACGGTGTCCTAAGCGTGCATTTGTGACAGAGTTCCTCAGGTACTTTCTACCAGCACCTGTGTCCCCAGAGTGGGCTTCTGCTGACGCACCGCTGCCTTCTCCCCGCCAGGCGCGTTCATGATCCCGTTCCTCATCCTGCTGGTCGTGGAGGGCATCCCCTTGCTGTACCTGGAGTTCGCCATCGGGCAGCGGCTGCGCAAAGGCAGCGTGGGCGTCTGGAGCTCCATCCACCCAGCGCTGAAGGGCGTAGGTGTGTATCTGGGCCCCGGCGGGGGGCCCTGCCCGCGGCTGGTGGGGTCAGCAAGCGTGTTCCTTCCTGCTCTCCTTCCGCCTCTTTTCTGGGGGGCTCACTGCCCCCAGCCCTCTGCAAGCCCTTCCTTGGACGCCCAGGGAAGTGTCTGTGGCAGGGTCCAGGCTGGGGTCCCTCCTGGCCTCCAGGGACCAGCTGGGCAGCCGAGGCTGTCCCCGGATGGACGCCCAGGGCCTGGGCGGGTGTAGACATGGGGAGAGCAGGGTTCCCCCATTGCTGCTCAGTGAGCGCCTGAAGGATCACCCTCCTGCTCTCTGGGACCCTCTGTCCGCTCACACAGTCATCGAGGAGGCTCCCCCAGTACTGCCCCCCAACAGTGCACCTCCCCCCAGCGGTGCCACCTCCCACCCCTGGCAGTGCCCCCTCAGTGGTGCCCTCCGGCAGTATCCCCCTCTCCCCCACCCCAGTGGTGCCCTCCGGCAGTAGCCACAGCACTGTCGTTTGCGCCCAGGCATCGCGTCCATGTTCGTGTCCTTCATGGTGGGCCTCTACTACAACACCATCATCGCCTGGGTCATGTGGTACTTCTTCAACTCCTTCCAGGAGCCTCTGCCGTGGAGCCAGTGCCCGCTCAATGACAACCGGACAGGTGAGCCCTGGGTGGGGCGGGGGCGGTCAGGACGGCTGGCTGTGTAAGAGCCACTGCACCTTTGAACATGCAGACTCAGTTTGTATAAACACTCGCTGTCTGATTTCCCCAAAGTCAGATGGTTATGGCTTAGGTTCGAAAAACCAGAGCATATTTAAGGCAACAGGAAATTAAAAAAAAAAGTCATCATGCCAGAGAAAAGCCCTTAAAACAGGTGCTTCTGCCTCAGGAGGACGGGTGCTGGCTGAGGTCCGGATGAAGGAAAGGTGGGGGCTGCTCCCTGACATCACACAGGCTGGTGGCCTGACCCTCCGCTGTCCCTGCCCACCAAATTCCCTTGGGTCTCGTTTTCCACAGAGTCACCCGCCCCTCACCACTGGGTCATTCTGGGACACCCCCGGGGAGGGAGAGTGGGGAGCACATCCTCTGTCTGCAGCCCGTGGGGGGCATGGGACGTGTGCTCAGCTCGGCAGAGTGTACACACCGGCATCGGGATGTAAACTGCCTGACCTGTAAGCAGGGGTCCAGTGCAGGGTGTGTGTGCGGGTGTGTACGTGTGTGTGGGCGTGTGCACACAGGTGTGCACGTGTGCCTTATGGGCACGCACATATGTGAGCCCATGTATATGCACACGTGTCTGTGGGTGTGTGCATGTGGGTGTGCATGTGTGCCTTATGGGCACACACATATGTGTGCCCATGTATACGCACACATGTCTGGGTGTGTGCATGCGGGTGTGCACGTGTGCTTTATGGGTACACATACGTGTGTCTTTGTATACACACACGTGTCTGGGCATGTGCACGTGTGTGTGCATGTGTGACTTATGGGTACATACATATGTGTGCCCATGCATACGCACACGTGTCTGGGTGTGTGCATGCGGGTGTGCACATGTGCTTTATGGGTACACACATATGTGTGTCTTTGTATATGCACATGTGTCTGGGTGTGTGCACGCAGGTGTGCATGTGTGCCTTATGGGTATGCACATATGTGTGCCCATGTATACGCACATGTGTCTGTGGGCGTGTGCACGCGGGTGTGCATGTGTGCCTCATGGGCACACACACATGTGTGTCCATGTATACGCACACATGTCTGGGCGTGTGCATGCGGGTGTGCACGTGTGCTTTATGGGTACACACATATGTGTGTCCATGTATACGCACACATGTCTGTGGGCGTGTGCACGCAGGGGTGCAGAAGCACCTGTATAGGTGTGCACCACATATCTGTGTGCCCGTGTGCCCGTGTGCACATGTGTCAGTGAGCCGGGAGCACAGCCCTACTCCCTGCAGCTGCCCTGTCCCCTCCACGGTCCTCACTCCCTGTGACCCAGACTGACGTGTGAGTGCGGCCCCACAGGCTACGTCGAGGAGTGCGCCCGCAGCACGCCGGTGGACTACTTCTGGTACCGGGAGACCCTCAACATCTCCGACGACATCAGCAACTCGGGCTCCGTGCAGTGGTGGGTCCTGCTCTGCCTGACCTGCGCTTGGAGTGTCCTGTACGTGTGTACCATCCGCGGCATCGAGACCACGGGCAAGGTGAGGCCAGGCTGCAGGGGCTCGAGGGGCGGAGGAGCACTTCTGGGCCCTGAGCTGGCTGTCCCTTCATCAGCTCGCAGGGGCACGGCCCATGTGCCCGCTGTCTGGGAGGGGCCTCTGCTGCCCACCAGCGTGGCCCCAGGGACTCAAGAAGCTGCAGGCCAGACTGGTCCACAGGCGTTGCCTCATCAACGCAGCTGAATAACCACCGTTACAAACATGACAGTGGGAAGCCGGGGGAAGGTGCGCGACCAGCCCTGTCTCCTCTTGAGCCCCGTCTCCCCCTTCTCCCCACACTTGCCCTGTCCCCAGGCCGTGTATATCACCTCGACGCTGCCCTATGTCGTCCTGACCATCTTCCTCATCCGAGGCCTGACGCTGAAGGGAGCCACCAATGGCATCGTCTTCCTCTTCACGCCCAATGTGAGTCTCCCGCTGTCTGCCCCCGGGCGCCAGGCCTCCCCACCCAAGACCAGCCCTGGCCAGTCCCAGGGCCCCTCGACGCACGCATGCGGGGCCTGCAGGGGGCTGCACGTGGGCTGAGGGCAGCCACCTCCGCGTCATCAGTTGCCACCTTCAGGGGCTGTTGTCTGGCCTGACAACCCACCCAGCCCTCCCTTGGACCAGCCCCTCGTCCTCGGGGTGCATGGCTGAGGGTCTGTGTCCTGCCACAGATCACGGAGCTGGCCAACCCGGTGACCTGGCTGGATGCGGGGGCCCAGGTCTTCTACTCCTTCTCGCTGGCTTTCGGCGGTCTCATCTCCTTCTCCAGCTACAACTCCGTCCAGTGAGTGCGGGCAGGGGTCCTGGGCTGGCAGAGGGCTCAGTGCTGAGGCCGGCTTAGGGTCTGAGCGGTTTTCACGTGCCAGGTGCCTCGGTCCCGGTGATGGGGAGCCCTGGTGCGCCCCCTCTGTCCCTCACGCCCCCTCCTGGTCACCCCTCGGAATCCAGGAGCCCAGATGCCCAGCCCCCACAGTCCACTCAGACCAACACCCACACGGAAAGGGCCCCAGGGGCCTTCAGAGGAACGCACTTGGTGTCAGTTCACCTTGCAAACATTTATGGAGCACCTACTGTGCGCCCTGCCTTCTGTGTGACGATCTGTCCTCCTGGGGTCTATGGCTGTGTCCTGGCTAAGACATAAGCGAGCAGAGTGAGCGGGACGAGGGGCCTGGGGCCCGGCTGGGTTCCTCAGTCAGAGTGGTTTCGGGTCCGGAGCTGCAGTGTGAGCAGACTCAGATGGGGCGGGTGAGCGCAGACGCCACTCTGGCCACTGGCCACGGGGGCGGGTCCAAGAGGGCGGGGCCGGTTTCTCGCCACATCCTCGCGACACTTGTTACTATCTGACTTTTCGATTCTGGCCATCCTGGTGGTGAGATATGGTGTCTCCTGGGGTTTGATTTGAGTTTCCCCAGGGGCTGAGGGACTGGGCTTCTGCTAGAAGCATCTGGAAGGGAGGTGTGAGCATTAGCAGTGGGGGCTGGTGGGAGAGCTGCCCGGCCGGGTTGGGGACGCCAGGAGCTGGTTCTGGACACGCTGAGCTGGGGAAGCCTTTGAGCTCCAGGTGGAGGTGGGGACCCTTCAGCTGGGAGGAGACAGGCCCTCCCTGGGGGCCAGAAGGAGGTACAGACGGGCAGGGGAGGGGCATGGGTGGGTAGGGTGGGGACCTGGTCATCTCTGATGCCTGAGACTGAGGGCTCACTTACTGGGCCCAGAGCAGCTGCTGGCAGAGCAACTGTGCACGCAGGGCTCTCAGAGCCCAGCTTTGGGGGTTGAAGGCTGCTCTAGGGGGCCACAGGGCTTTGGAGGGTGTCTGGGACACCAGGTTGCAGCACAGGTGGCATTGTGAAGTGGTAAGAAGGGCAGGACTGAGGGCCACTGGCTGTGGGCACAGGGCTTGGGGACAGCCCTCTGGCCATCTCTTGCTGGGTGCCAGTTGGGAAGGACAAGTGGGCTGTCTGAGTCTCCCACCCCCACCCCGCTGCACCCCAGTAGCCCAGGCCAGGCCTGTGCTGACCTGGCGGGGCAGGTGGACACAGCATCCCTGGCTTGTGGCTTGTAGTGACCTGATTCCACGTTTGTCTGCAGCAACAACTGTGAGATGGATTCAGTGATCGTGTCCGTCATCAACGGCTTCACGTCTGTGTACGCAGCCACCGTGGTCTACTCCATCATCGGCTTCCGTGCCACCGAGCGCTTCGATGAGTGCTTCAGCACGTGAGTGCCCGTCCCGGCCACGCCCACCCCCCAGGAGCCCGCCGGGCCTGCACCACACAAGATATCAGCCTCACTGTCTTTCCAGGAATATCCTGACGCTCATCAATGGGTTTGACCTGCCCGAGGGCTACGTCACCCAGGAGAACTTTGCGGAAGCGCAGCAGTGGTGCAATGCCACCGACCCCGTGGCCTACGGGAAGCTCAAGTTCCAGACCTGCGACATGACCTCCTTCCTGTCGGAGGTGAGTCCCTCAGGGGCGGCACAAGGCAGAGACGGAAGGGCACCGTTGGGGACACTGAGCCCCCGGGACCCCAGTTCCCATGGGCCTGTCCCTCCCCCACGGGCCTGCCCGCCTCTGCCCCTCCGGCCCCTCTGGGTCCTGGGCACCCAGGCTGGGCACCAGCATCTACCTGGCCACAGCACCCCATGTCCAGACCCCATGAAGCCAGGGTGGGAACGGGGGCGGTCACCTGCCTGGCCTCCTCCATGGCCTCATGTCAAACACATGAGGACACCACATGGTCCATTGTTAACAATTCCTTCCATGAAAAAGTCAGAGTCATTATAACTGTACTTTTGAGATGACTTGGGACTTGGTGGCACACTTTATGTCAGGTTGGCTGACTTTGCCATTGTCACAGAGCCGAAGAACATGTAACCTACACATCGTCTGAGGCATGAATGCTTTTAAACACCAGTTCTGAGAGTCAGTGATACTTACGAACCACGGTGCTTGACAGACAAACATTTACTAATTTTAGTTGTGCAATTTTCTTAGTTGGAGCCACCTAGTATTTTGGGCAATGTTAAGTGGTTTTAGGGCCTGGTGCCGTTTCTCTAGTGGCCGTGATAGCACAGCCACGCCAGGAGCGAGGTTCAGAGAGGCCACGGGAGGGTTCTCCGAGCCCCGTCTTCCCACCGCTGCTGAAGGACTGAGGGCCGGTGGCTGGCACACGGGGTGTCCAGTCCGGGTCCCTCTTTATTGAGGTTCAAGCACGTACCTCATTCAGGGAAGTTTGCTGAGGTTTGGAAACGAGCAGCTCTGTGCATCCTCCGGACCCACCACCCAGAAGTTTCCAGCAAGTCAGTCCCCGCCTCCCGGCGTCCTAGGCAACTGCCAGCTGCTTCTGTCCCCTGGTTGTGCCCTCTCTAGAGGTTTCATAACAAGGGGGCCGTGTCCTTCGCGGTCTGGGGCCGCCTTCCCTCAGCCACGTTAGATTCACCAGCTCCTCGCGCCTCCGCGAGGCGGCTCTTCCTGCGTGTGGGCCCCGCTGTGGATCACCTGTCCTCCTCGACTCCCCGTGGGCCTCCACAGCGCGCAGCTCAGGAGTCAGAAATGCTGCAACACTGCCTTGGGGCCCCTTACTTCTATGGAACCCCAACCTCCCAAGTCAAAGCGGGTGGAAGGGGCCACTTCCCCCAGGCCTCCTCGCCAGAGGTTCTGGGGCAGGAACACCGGCCGCCAGGAAGGGACCTGGTGCCAGAGGTTGCTGACCCCCGTGGGCTAGATAAAGTGGCCCGGGGTCAGCCCTGGGGCTACGTCCTGTGGGCCCGTCACACGCCTGCCCATGGCCAGCTCTCACACATCGAGGGGTCACATGTACAGGGCGGCCACCAAGGGGGCTCACTCTGGCCCCACTGAAGTCACTTAGCGCTCTGAACCCGGCCCTGTGGGTGCAGCTCAGGAACCTCCCTGGGTGGTCTGAGCGGCTCGCAACCGTGCGATCGTAAAACATACTTCAGCTTTTAAAAACTACAGTTGGGTCTAAAAGACACGATCTGCCTATTTCACAAAATGATGCAAATGAGCCAGACACCTGAAGGTGTGGGAGTGGCGTGCGGAGAGCCGACCGAGGCCGGGGCACCTGGGAGCGGGCGCCGTGCGCGGCTGACGCGTCTCCTCGCCCCGCAGGGTGTGGAGGGCACGGGGCTGGCGTTCATCGTCTTCACAGAGGCCATCACCAAGATGCCGGTGTCCCCGCTGTGGGCCGTGCTCTTCTTCATCATGCTCTTCTGTCTGGGCCTGTCCTCCATGTTCGGGAACATGGAGGGTGTGGTAGTGCCCCTGCAGGACCTCAAACTCTTCCCGCAAAAGTGGCCCAAGGAGGTGCTCACAGGTGGGTGGGTGGGGCCGGCTGGGCGGGCGGTGAGGGCGGGCGCTGGGGGCCCTGGTGGAGGCCGGCTGAGCTCAGTCTGCAGCAGCGCCCCCTCTGCCCCGCCCGCAGGCCTCATCTGCTTGGGGTGCTACCTCATTGCCTTCATCTTCACGTTGAACTCCGGCCAGTACTGGCTCTCCCTGCTGGACAGCTACGCCGGCTCCATCCCCCTGCTCGTCATCGCCTTCTGCGAGATGTTCGCCGTGGTCTACGTGTACGGCGTGGACAGGTAGGTAGGAGGGAGGCCGAGGCACACGGCCGGCTCCAATCGTTCCATGAAACTCCCACCCTGGGCTAGGCCGGCCCGCGTCCGGTCAGGGCGGAGGACAGGTGCACATGACGCGGGCGGTGGGGAGTGTTTCCCTTGGTTGGACGGGCGTGGCGTGGGTGCGGGTCTGGCACCTGGATGGATGCAGGGCAGAAGGGACGGATCCCGGAAGGGTGCCCACCCAGAGCAGCCCGCACTTCCTCCTCCAGCTTCTAGACGCTTCCAGACCCAGCGTACAGATTAAGCACAGACATAAGAAGACTGCGTAGTCTTGGGGTGGGAGAAAGAAATCGGCACCACCTCTGACCTGACTGCATGATTTTAAAAAATGTATAGCCAAAGTGTCATAAGCAGAGTCAAAAGACAAGCAGTGAACTAGACCGACGGTGGCGGTGAGAGGAGGTGAAACGCTCACACACCAGGAGGCTTCGGTGGACAGATGGGGACCGGACGTGAGCAGGGGGCTCAGGCAACGCAGAAGGGCCTCGGAGCCCCTTGGGGCCCAGGAGCACGCTGGGCTGGGGTGAGGGCCAGGAGTGACAGGCAGAGGTGTGAGCTGTGTGCGGGGAAGAGCGAAGTGCTTTTCGTCAGTGGGGTTCCACAGCCAGGGAGCCCTGTGGGGGGGACGCTCTGGGCCTTTCTAGGAGGCAAATGGCTCCGCAGGCAGAGACTCAGGCGAGGACAGGGGCCCCTGCGGCCTTTTCAGCGTCCCCCCGGCCAAACTCTCAGGGCATTGCCTGTTGTCAAAATGGGGGTCCAAAAAACGGCACCACGTCCTTGGCAGGAGCTGACGTGCCACAACCTCAGGAATAACATTGGTGTCAGTTACCGTGAGACATGCCCGCTCCTTCCAGCACTCCCACTTTGGGAAACCTGTTCCATGTCACCAAGACACATGTGTGCAAGGGCACACATGCAGGGTGCTTGTCAGCCACACAGTGTGAGCAACCGAGGTGGCAGCTGAAGGCAGACCCACCGGGCGCGACACCAGCAGATGTTGCCTGCTGGTGTGTGTGAAGCAGGTGTGATCATCTGAAGAGTGCATGTCCATCTGTGAATGGCTCACTGGCTGCCGGGTCCCGTGCGACTCTGCCTCAAGGAGGCCACATGAGCAGGCGGCGGGGAGCGAGAAGACACGCATCACCACGCTCCCAGGCCTTGCTGGGCACAAGGCCTGCGCATCTCTGCTTTTCCCGAAGTGTCCTCTGGGCTCACCAGCGGCCAAGGACAGCTCACATTTTTGTTCTGTCCACTCCGTTCTGATTTCTACAGACAGTAAACTCATTTGTGCAGGAGAAAGTGCAGCGCAGGATGGCAGGACATGGTGGGGCCTCCAAGGTCAGGGCTGCTGACCCCTGTTTGCATAAGTGCCTGCCCAGGCGCGTGACCTCACGAGTGGAGCGCTGGGCTGGGGCTGAGGGACGAGGTTTCCAGAGGCCTCCAGAGAGGCTTGTGCTGTGGCCACGGAGCCTTCCCAGGGGAGGCGCACCTGTGCTCAGAAAGACGGCTAGAACTGTGATGGCGGAAGGCGGGGTGCAACGTCGCGGGGCGGCAGCCGTCTGATGCCGAAAGGCTGGCCCACCCTCCACTTTAGTGGGATGACAGGCTCATGTTCCCGCCACGTGACGGCTCCCTCTGGCTTCTGCTTCCAGGTTCAATAAGGACATCGAGTTTATGATCGGGCACAAGCCCAACATCTTCTGGCAAATCACGTGGCGAGTGGTCAGCCCGCTGCTCATGCTGGTCATCCTCCTGTTCTTCTTCGTGGTCCAGGTCAACAAGACGCTCATATACAGCGTCTGGGACCCTGCCTATGTGAGCATGCAGGGGCTGCCGGGTGGGGAGGGCGGGCTGTGCTCCCCGGGAGGAGGTGTGTGGGGCTGGGGGCGGACCCTTGCCTCTCCGTCCCGTCCCCCACGGTGCCAGGTGAGTGTCGCAGGCAGAAGGGGGCATCGTGCCCCTGAAGGAGCCCCCGCCGGCTGCCTCTGTGTCTGTTCAGCCTGTGGTTACTCTCTCCCCAGGAGGAATTTCCCAAATCCCATAAGGTCTCGTACCCGGACTGGGCGTACGGCGTGGTGGTCGTCGTGGCTGGGGTGCCCTGCCTCACCATCCCCTGCTTCGCCATCTACAAGCTCATCAGGAACCGCCTCCAGAAGCCGGAAGGCCAGCAGGGACTGGTCAGCTCGCTGTCCACAGCCTCTGTGAACGGGGACCTGAAGTACTAAGCAGCCCTGCGCATGGCTGCATGAGTGCATGTGCATACACATGTGTGAGCATGTGAGTGTGCATGTGGGTGAGGGAGTGTATATACGTGAGCGTGTACATTGTGTGAGCACATGCACACGTGTACAGGCGTGTGCATGTATACATACATGTGCATGAATACGTTACATACATGTAAGTTATATGTGTGTATGTGTACACACGAGTGTACGCATGTGTGAGTGTATTGTGTATACTGTGTGCGCGCACATGTATACATGTGCTTGTGTGCCCACACACAGGCACGTGTGAACACCTGTGTATACGTGCATGTCGGTGTGTACACATATCTGTGTATATGCACAGGTGTGGGTATGTATTTATAAACACATGTGCATGTGTATACATGTGATGTGTGGTGTATACATGTGTGTAAGTGTGCGTGAGTACATGTGTTGTGCTCACGTGCTCTTGTGTACACATGTGTACGGAATGTGCGTGTGTGCGCATTGTGTACGCATGTGCATATGCATGTTACCCCACAGCATACATGGCTGCCACCTGGGCCCAGCTGCCCCCTGGCACCCCCAGTCACACCTGTGCTGGGGCACGTGCTCAGGTCTGGCCACGCCCTCCAAGGGGACGTCAGAAGCTGCAGCAGGGAGGCAGCGCCTGCTGTGCTCGCCTGTGGACGGGAGCGTGTTGCTGTGCGGACCCCCTGGATCAGCCTTGCTGTCCCCCAGCCCTCCCCTTGCTGCTGAGCCCCTGACCTAGGAACTCCTGGTGGTCGTGTTGAGCATGTGAGCCCATGAGAAGGAGCCCGTCGAGAAGAGGCCGTGGGCCCCTCGGCCGCTGAGCTGGGAACGCCTGGGCCCTGCCGTCTGCCAGCAGTAGGCTCCCCAGTCTTGGCAGAGGTCTGGCTTAATGACTGCTAACCCGTTTAATCATTGCTTCTGGCTGCCACAAATAGATGACAGTTAAATAAAACTCAGCTTGGCATAATTTAAGGCAGAAACACCCTTTGTGTTTTTTTAAGAGAACGTTAACTGTGTGAATTTTTAGCCAGATGTTAGAAAAGACAAGTTATAGGGTAACTCAGCCTTGGTCACTGGGGTTGAGGACACTCCGTGTGTGCTGAGCAATGTCGGGGACCGTGGAAGCCCTGGAAGACCTCCCACTGGGTGCCAGTCAGTGATGGCTGGTGTCAGCTCTTCCCCCGTCGCAGGACGGGCTGTTTCCCAGGAGGCAACACCCAACCTCAGCCAAAGTTACTTGGCACTTGGGGTGTTTATTTCAATGAACCAGTCACCTCTACATTCCACGGAAACATCGATAAGTTTTAGTTAAACTGGACTTTCTGAGAATTCTCCAGGCAGGGATGGGAGACCCGAGAGGAGGGTGGGTCCCAGCACCATATGCAGATGCCCGATTACACTCTCTCCTCCCCCTGTACCTCCCGTCCAATGGTGACCCCAGACCTCAGCCCCAAAGCCTGGCTGAGGAACCCCAAAGCCCTCAGCATGTCTGGAGTGCTCTTACACGGCCCGCTGGTCACCGGGATGCCATGATCGGCAGAAACTGCTGAAGGCAGAGTGGGGGGGCTGGCCTACGCCTGCCCCCCTGGGGCCTAGACCGCATGTCCCTACCCAGGATACCTGCAACCCCAAGCCGCTCTGGCCTCCACACCCCAGATGCCGACGGCTTCCGTGAGACCCCACCTCCTTCTGCCCCCAAAGCCTTCTGACCCTGGATTGGGAAACTGCTGATGAGTATCCCATGCGTGCATGGCCCCACGCAGGGGTACAGAGAGAGACATCCAGCCAGTTCATGTCACCGGATGAGTGCCTCGTTTTACAGATTTGGTGTCTTTGCAACTTGTTAGAAATGCAGGTTTTAAGAACATAAAGTGTACTTGTCTAAATAAATCACTCTGTTTCATATTCTCGGCCTAAATGTTGTCCAAACGCAGAGGGCTGAGCAGAGGGAACAGCTGGGCCATCTCGAAGGGTTGGCCCAGGACCTCGGTTCTGATTTCTGGGGTTTCCTCTGAAGAAGCCACAACTCAGTGTCCATGGGGCCCGAGGCATGGTGGGTGGTGGCCCCCCTACTGCCCGAGGTGCCTGGTACAGCGCAGGCCAGTGGGGGCCTTGGCCTCTGGATACGGCGCTGCTGGCCGCTCACGCTGGCTGCCAGCTACACACGGTAGCCCATGGCAACCCACTGCCACAGGGGCTGCAGCCTACGCCGTTACCAGTGACTCACAGCAGCCCAGCTCCAGGTTGAGCTGTTGTTCAGCATCTTAGCTGTGGAGGGCAGTGTCACTGGCCCTCATGTGGGATCCAAACCGGGGCCCTCTGGTGTCCCAAGCCAGCTCTTAACCAACACGCCACTCGGCCGGCCCGCATCGTTACATTTTTGTTTGAAACAGTTGACTGTCTTTTAGAGAGGCAGACATAGCGAGGAAAACATACTGTGTGGTTTCCACACAGAAAGGACCCGGGGAGCCTGCCTGCAGCTCGCAAGCCTGCATTTCAGGGGCCCCCAGCTCAGCGCTCCACCCTGTCGCTTTGCCATCCACGTGCCTCCTAGCACAGCCTGTAGACCATGCGAGTCCAGTGGACGCAGTAGCTGTGTGCAGTCCAGGTGCCTCTGGGCCATAGCTGCTTAGGGCGGCTGTGCAGCTCTCCACGGCCCCTGTGTGCACAGGTCACAGTTACTCCCAAGTGAGGGTCTGCGTGCTCAAGAGGATTGCAATTACTGAGGTAGACCAGGGACACCAGAAGGCCCACAAGTCAGCCAGAGATCCCAAATAACCCTGCTATATAAGTCCCTAAAGGTTGGTCTGAATGACCCCCAAGTCAGTCTTTATTTGAGGCTCTGGGGTCAGTGAGGGAAGGTGTCCATTTGTAGGTTTATTTTGCATGAACACCGGTGTGCAGATCTCTGCCCAAACCTGACTGAGAACTGGAGACTGTCCTGCCGTGAGAGAGAGGGTGTGGGCAGGTGTGCAGCCCCAGGGCCCTGTGAGCAGCCAGATTTGGGGTGCGGGGGGAGAGCGAGAGCTGAGGGCCTGCAGTGTGGATGGCGGAGGCCACCACCAGGGGGTCGGTGCCCCTCTCAGCTGACGCACGTATATGTGAGTCCACGTGTGACCATGGCCGTGAGCCCCAAACCCTCCAAGCTTCATCCGAGTGCACCCCACCCCCATGGTGGTCTCCGCCCCGACCCGGCTGGAATCCCACACATGTGATGTGACGCTGGCCACGGAGGCAGTTCCACACGCCTGCTTCTCTGAAGCTTTTTATGTGGGACAGATGCCACTGAAGTCTCACAATCTGGCTTTTCACAGGCGATTTACTTCACAGCATCGTCTCCCTACCTGGTCCTGACAGTTTTCCTCATCAGAGGACTCACCTGCCCGGGGCGGTTGAAGGGTTAACCTACCTGTTCACCCGCAACGTAAGTGGGTCTCCAGTGAAATCCAGGCTCCGGGGGACACTGGAGTCAGGGCCACGGCCCAGCCCGCTTGTCCCATTCCCTGGGCGTGGGGGTGGGTGTCGGTCTGCAATTTGGGACGTGCAGACCCCGGTGCCTGCCTGTGGGATGTTGGGGGCCGGGGTTCAGAGGAAAGGCAGGCCGGGGACCCAGTGTCCTACCCTAGTGCCCCGGACTCCACACTTCTGAGAGCCTCGTCCAACTGCATGGCCCCACCAGGCGAGTGTCCACAGGACCAAGGGGCTTGCCCGTCAGAGCCCGCAGCCCTTCTAGGCCGTTCCACGCTCTCCAGCCCCCAGCCCTCCAGGCAGTGCCCCACCCCAGGGCAAGGGAAGGGGGCACCTGTGTGCAGAAGTGGGTGTGCCCAGGGCCCCCGGCAGCAGAAACTCCGGGCAGTGTGTGCGGCCGGACTCTGCCTGGGGGCCTTGGAGTCACCCAATCCTCCAGGTCTGAGGAGCAGAATAAACACGCCCAGGCTCAAGTTGCCCAGGCTAATTCCCAGCGCTGACGTCTGCCGCCAAGTTCTCAGCACCCACATGTGGGGCGCAAGCCGTGGGTTATCTGAGATGCCACAGGAACGAGGCCGAGTTTGCTGTGCTAATTGCCCTTCTAAGCTCCCTGGCCAGTCCTCAGCCGCCCCGGGGCCTGAGCAGGCGTCACCGCTCATGACAGCGGCCCTGGAGAAAGCCCTAGGACCGTTCTGGGACAGCAGGCGCCTGGGCCAGGGTGGCTTGTCTGTGGCACAACGAAGCTCTCCTGTCCCCTGTCCCCTCCAGAACCCTCGCGTGTGGCTGGATGCAGCCACCCAGATATTCTTCCCTCTGTCCCTGGCTATGGGAGGACACATCGCATTTGCACTACAAGGCGCCCAGGTGGGGTGGGGCTCAGGGTGGTTTCCTTCCCGCCAGGCACTGGCATCGTCTTCACACTCAGCACATCTTTACTGGGACTCACTGCCTGGGACAGGGAGTGACCTAGGGTGAACTTGAGATAAGACCAGACCTCAGGGATTCTAGGAATTACTGAGTCATCCCCCGAGGGCTGGATATCAGGGCCTCTATGGCAGCTTCCAGTACATTCCAGAGCCAGGCGGTCAAACCCAGGAACAAGGTCATCACTGGGGACTGACATCGAGCACGCGAACACGCATGTGACGCATGAGGTCACAGAGCAGAAATGCTGTGGGTGTTGCCTCTGGGGTCACTGGAGCAGGCTCAGGCCTCTGCTCTGCAGGGAGCCACACCTGGACCCCACAAGGACGGCGGCATCGTGAACTGCACAGCGAGAGCAGGTGCCAGGCAGCTGGGGGCAGGAGGTGTAGGGCGGAGCGCCAGCTGGGCCCAGGGCGTCACTCTCTGCATTGACAAGTTAGCACCTCGGCTGTCACTCTAAGGAGCTGTGTGCCGTCCACCTTCTCCAGCCTCCATGAGTGCCCAGCAAGGCCCGAGGCCCCTGTGCCCGAGGCCCCCAGGAGCAGAGCGGGGAGCGTCCTGGTGGGGTCGCTGGGGCGCAGGCCCCCACATTCCTCCCCAAGGTGCCTAACCACAGCGCCTGCGTGTACCTCTATCTACCCAGGAACGACTGGGAGAAGGACGCGTCACCATCGCCCTGGTCAACAGCATGACCTCCCTCTACGCCTCCTTTGCCGTCTTCTCTGTCCTGGGGTTTAAGGCGGCCAAAGACCACGGGCGCTGCCTGGACGGGCGAGCGCCACGCCTTCAGGCCGCCCGACGGGGCCTGCTGCCCCAGGAGTCCCACACCGTGTCCTTCTATTTCCTTAGGGGAGTGTCCCCCAAAGGGCACGTCTGCCCGGAACCTAGCATGTGACCTGATTTGGAAATGAGGTTTTTGCAGATAGTGTGGGTCAAGATGAGGTCACACTGGAGAGGGTGCCCCCAATCCATGAGCGTGTCCTACGGAGGGGACAGAAAGCCACACACAGACGGACCACATGGCAAAGGAGGCAGAGGTTGGAGTGACGCAGTCAAAGCCTGGGAAGGCCCAGCGCAGCAGGAGCTACCGAGGCAGGAGGGACCCCCCGAGAGCCCCCAGGGGGCGACCCAGCCGCGTCCACAGTGTCACATGTCCCCACCAGATTGTGCTAGCAGGAGGAGGAAGAGAAGGACAGACGTGGCCGCTCCCAGGACGGGGTGCTCTGGGGGCAGCTGAGGGTGCGCACCTCCTGGAACGTTCCGGAGGGGTTGAGGGGCTGCGCTCTGGTGAGCAGAATGACCCCCGTTCAGCTCTGCCAGCCACTTCCACCGAGACGCCTGGGGAGCTTCAGTTGTTGATCCACGAACTGCTCCTGGACGTGTGTCCCAGGTGGCACTTAGGACAGCACGGCTGTGCTGCACGCAAGAGTTTGCAGCAGCAAACTCACCACTGAAAGCAGACAGGATGTGAAAGCCAAGGCCCCAGCGAGGCTGTGACAAGGACGGTGTCCACAGTGGTGGTGCGGGCAGCAAGAAGGCGTTGCACGGCCAGGCCACCTCAGCGGGGACAAGCCACTCCGAACTGACAGATGGTCCCCAAGTAACTGCAGAGGGGCTGCGGGTGTGAATTCCAAGGCTACAAATACGTTTAGGGAGTGGCTGAACTTGCAAATGCAGAAATGTCTGTTGGGGCTGCCGCCCTGCCCACAGCCCTTGGGGAGTGCTGCCCCCAGTGTCCATGGGGGGCCCACAGGTCCAGGGGGCGAGGGAGCTGCCACTGCCTGGTTGTACCCCACAAGGGAGGGTCCCCTCCAGGCCTGGGGCACCCTCAGGGGCTGAGAACAGCCTTCCCTCCCTCCCAGTCTGCAGGAGGTAAATAAGCACCTGCGCCTGTTGCCACAGGGGTCCTCGAGACCCCCAGGCTGACCCCCCCACCCCCCGAGTGGCACTGTGGTGCTCGGTGCCCTGCAGAGCCTTCACCCAGCCTGTCTCTACAGAAACATCCTCAGCCTCATCAATGAGTTCGAGTTCCCTGACCAGAGTGTCTCCCGGGAGGACTACGCGGCCATCCTCACACACCTGAATGCCACCCAGCCTGAGAGGGTGGCTGGGCTGCACCTGGAGGCCTGCCATCTGCAAGACTTCCCGGGTAAGGCTCTGAGGGGCCTGGCCTCGCTGCAGGTGGCTGACGGGGGGGGCGGGCGTCTGGCGCACAGAGCTGTGCTGTGCGGGGTTGGGCGGGCCCCCGAAGGGCCCCACCGGGGGACAGGGCCGGAAGCTTGGGGTGGGCGGCCGGGGGCAGCTCCTCAGGGCAGTGGTCGGATGGGCGCCTGAGCCCAAGGCCCCTGGGTTCCACATCACCCGTGGGCTGCAGGCTGTCCGAGGGGGAAGATTCCTTTCCCTCACCTCACCTGTGTCTTGTCCCAGCACAGCCAGACAGAGCAGAGCCCCCGCCTCTGCCCTCAGGCCAGGAAGCATGTTGGTGTGTGTGCCCCCGGTGCTGCATGCGTGTCCCCGGTGCTGCGTGCGTGCCCCAGGTGCTGCGTGCGTGCCCCAGGTGCTGCGTGTGCCCCAGGTGCTTCATGTGCTCCAGCGTGAGTGTGTGTGTGTTGCAGAGCGCCTCAGGCACAGGCCTGGCCTTCATCGTCTTCACCGAGGCCATTCTGCACATGCCAGGTTCGCCTGTGTGGGCCGTGCTGTTCTTCTCCATGCTGTTCACCTTGGGGCTGTCATCCATGCTCGGGGACATGGGGGGCATCATCACGCCGCTTCTGGATATGGAGGTCCTGCCCCGATGGGTCCTCAAGGAGGTCCTGACTGGTGAGTGGCCAGCGCCCTCCTCCATGAGGGCTCGGGGGCCTGGCTGCGGCCCCAGTGGGGGGCTGGGCCCGCCTCGTCCCCTCTCGGGGCTGGTCCTGGCGGCCCTGTGATGACTGGACGCCCCGAGTGCGTCACAGGGAAGCAGAGGGTCAGGGTGCAGGAGCAGAGACCCTGCCCCACGCACCGCCCGCTCAGGCCAGCCCCCCGTCCTCCCCGCTGGGCACAGTGCGGGAGGTGGTGGGGCTGCGAGGATCGGGGCCACCAGGGCGACCCGCCAGCCGTGACGCTGTGCGTGCGCAGGGGCGGCCTGCCCGGCCTGCTTCATCTCGGCCCCCGGCTTCGCGCTGCAGTCCGGGCGCTCCTGGCTCGAGGTCTTCGACAGCCGCGCCGCCTCCCTGAACCTCATCCTTCTCGCCTTCTTCGAGGTGGTCGGTGTCACCTACGTCTACGGGCTGGACCGGTGGGTGCCGCGCCCCTTGCCACGCCGCCCCTCGGCTCCCAGCGTCCTGCCTATGCGATGTCTGGGCATCGGGGAAGCGGTCTCCTGGGCAGCTGTGCAGATGCGACAGAGCCATCTGAGGCCCTCGCAGGGCCCGCCGCCTGGCTGGGCCGGCCTCCCAGCCTGTGGGGAGGCGAGTGACAGACGGCCACCGGCCACGGGGGTGGGTCCTCAAGCCCAAACATAGGAGGACACTAGGGCACGGGGAGGTCCGCCCTCCTAGACACCCTGCCGGAGGCCTCCGAGGAGGCCCGGCCCTGATCCTGCCCGTCCCACCTGGCTCGGGCCTGCGACACACGTGTCCCTCACACCTGTCCTCACACCTGTCACTCCCACCTGCACTCACGCCCACACTCACACTTGCCACCCTGACCACAGCCTTGCATGAGTGGCCCTAGAGGTTGTGCTCTCCGTCCTCGGCTCCAAGGGGTCCTGGGAGTCAATGACTGCCGGGGTCTCCACCTGCTCTGCGGGCACAGGGGCCAGCGGGCTTGTCCCGAGGTAGGCACTGCCACATGGAGAGGTGACAGTGAGGGGCAGCTGTCTGGGGGCCCTGACCTGGTGTGCGGGATGCACGGGGAGCCCTGGACTCCGACCAGCCGTGGCTCTCAGGAGGCTCAGGAGCAGGCTGGAGCTGGACAGGGCCGGGGGCAGGGACGGGGGGCAGGCAGGGGAGGGGCCACAGGAGAGGGCTGTCTTCCAGTCGGCTCCTGGGCGTAGCTGACGCTGCGGCGGCTGCACATCCTGGGTCACCTCTGTCCCGGTCCCTTGGCCCAGAGTGGCTCAAAGGTGGCTTCTTCGCCCTGTGCGCTGCTCCCCTTCCACAGCTGGGCTGGTGGGGGCTTTGCTGCTTCTCACCCAGCAGCCGAACCTCCAGGGTGAAACTCACAGGTCCTGTCCAGTGGCACCTCCCCCAGGTGCTGGGCCGGGCTGACCGCCTCCCTGTTGCCCGGCCGCCCTGCTCAGCCCTCTCCCTTGGCCGGACAGACCTGGTCACTCAGGCCTTTTCCACATGTTGGCCGGGGGTTGAGTTCTCAGCAAGGGGGCAACGGACGGAGTGGAGGCGGGAGCAGCCCCACAAGCGACGTCTCGGTGACCCCGATGAAGCTGTAGGCTGAGTGGGCGGGCACACGGGGCCGGTGGGAGAGCCTGACCCAGGGTCTCTGTGGCAGGTTCTGTGATGACATAGACTGGATGGCGGGAGGCGGCCTGGCCTCTACAGGCGGGTGACCTGGAAGGCCATCAGTCCCCTGCTCCTGCTGACCATTTTTGTGGCCTACTTCACCCTCCTGGCCTAGACGCCGCTGAGCTACAGAGCCTGGAATCCCCAATACGTAGGTCCTTCGGAGGGACCCGGGGGATCGGGCCGAGGCAGCCGTGACACCGTGGGGCCCCTCGGGGTGGACAGGGCAGCTCTTTCCAGAACACGACCCCCAGGTTCCAGGCCTGTCTCAGAGCCCAGTACCCATGAGAGGCTCGGCCCACGTCCTGAAATGTCAGCCCCTGTGTCCTCACTGCCCAGGGGACCTTTTCCATCCATGCACCAGGAAGAGCTGGGGTGAAGCTGCCCGCACAACCCACGTCCACATCGCCGAGGGTCAGCCTCACTCCATCTGGGGAGGTGGAGTGGGGGTGATGCTGTCCCCTTCCCGACGCCGACGGTGACCTTGCGTCCTGCAGGAGCAGTTCCCCTTGAAGCAGGATAAGTCCTACCCGGGCTGGGAGTGGGCCATCTGCGCACTGCTGTCCTTTCCTGCACTGTGGGTCCCAGGGGTCGCGCTGACCCAGCGGCTCGCCCGGCGCCGACGGAAGCGGGACAGCAGGACA